ATTGATGATTCATGATTGATTATTGGGATTTAAAACTATTATTGATTATTCAAATTATGTTAAGTATTGAAAATGAGTAGCGCCTCAAGAGATTTTGAAATAAAATTTGAAAAATTTATTCTGATTTTCGGTAAATAAAAGTGGGGCGTTACACCTTTGTCCCCTTACCTTTTTATTTTAGTTGCTGAGCTTTTATCTGCACTGGTGGTGAACTCTCTAAACTCAAGTAGGCTGAAAGGGATTAGAATATCTAGAAATGGTCCAGTGCTTTCTCACTTGTTGTTTGCAGACGATTCCCTATTTGTTTGCAAAGCTGGGACTGATCAGGCCACTATTCTTCTGAATCTCTTGGAGCAGTATAGGCTTTTCTCGGGGCAGGCCATTAATTTGCAGAAATCTGCTATTTTCTTCAGTAAGAATACTCCTCAGCGCCTCAGAACTTCTATTTGTGCTATCTTGAATGGCATCACTGTCCACAGATCAACAAGATATCTTGGACTACCCCTGGGCATCGGTAGATCGAAAAGGGAAGTTTTTGATTACCTCCTTACTTCTGTTAAAAACAAGCTTGAAAGTTGGAAATCAAAATTTCTTAGCACGGCTGGAAAAGAGGTGTTGCTAAAGGCTGTTATTTAAGCACTTCCCATATTCTCAATGTCATGTTTCAAGATTCCTGTATCCATTTGTAATGAAATTTCTAGGTTATGTGCTCAGTTCTGGTGGAAGACAAATGCAGAACACTCACAGGGCATTCATTGGAAAAAATGGGGTTGGTTATCTCTCCCAAAGCAACAGGGTGGTTTGGGTTTCCTTGATCTGCAGCTATTCAACAAAGCTATGATATGCAAGCAGCTGTGGAGAGTGGCATCTAACCCTGATCTTCTAGTGAGCAAACTTCTTAAGGACAGGTATTTTCCACACTCATCCATTGTTCATGCTCAGAAATCCCAAGGGAGTAGTTGGATGTGGAACAGCTGGATGGACTCCATGCCTATTTTTGCTAAGTGGATGAGAATTGAGATCAGAAATGGTGTTGACACCAGAATTGAAGACTTTAATTGGGTCCCTAAGCTATTAAAGCCTGCACCATCCTTAATTCCCATTGCAAGAGGTCATCTTGTCTGGGTTAAGGATTTGCTAATCACTAATGGTCACCAATGGAATGAGTGGTTGATTAACCATGTGTTTGATGAGACTGAAAGTAAAGCAATTCTGAAAATCAATACTCTGAATGCTAACAGAAATGATAGAGTCTTCTGGGGGTTGGACAAGAAAGGCACATTCTCTGTTTCAAGTACCTACAAGTACCTGGCTGCTTCTAAATTATTGAAGGAGGATCCTCCTCAATGCAGTAATGCACCAACAATCAAGCAAGGAACCAAACTCAGGTTATGGAAACTCAAGATTGCAGGTAAGATTAAAATTTTCCTTTGGAAATTTCTGAACAATGCAATCCCAGTAGCTGTGCAGCTTTTGAAAAGAAGGTTGGTTCTGGACACCACTTGTGCCATGTGTGGAGAAGGACCTGAAACTGTTGAGCACTTGCTTCTAAACTGTGCAAGAGCAAAGAGATGCTGGGACATCTGTCCAGTTCAGTGGGATGGCATTAAGGATAGGTCTGAACATTTCCCTGATTGGTGGTATCAACTCTGTTTGCTGGAATCTTCTGAGGTGGCTGAAGCTCGCATTCAATTATCAACCTATATGCTTTGGTGGCTTTGGAAGTCCAGGAATACCTGGATTTTTCAAAAGATCATGATCCCGGAGCAGGTCCTTGTTAGAATGGCCCATTTGGACTGGCTGGAATTTTCTTCTGCAACTTCTTAGTTTTTTCTGTTTTTTGTTTTGTTTTCTTTTTAGCAGTCTGGTTTTGCTTTGTTTCTCGGGGATCAATTCTTCTGGCTAGGCTCTTGCAGTGGGTGGAAGTATTTCTCCTTTTTTTTTTGCTTTGTTAGTTTTGATCAGTGTTTGAGGTTTTAGTTGAGGATTTAGACCGTTGTGGACGTGTCTCTCATGTTTCTCTTTAGTTGGGTTGTTTCTTGTATTTGAACATTGTATTCCTTTTGTTTTCAATAGTTATCCCTGTCGTTTCGGGAAAAAAAAAAATGGAATACAAAGATCATAAATGTCCTGAACAGCTCGCCCGCTCACTCCTCGTCCCCGACCCTGCGACCTGAAAATCATGAAAGGTGTGGGGCGTGAGCACTAAGGCACTGTGCTCCACAGAAACTCATGCTAATGTACAACATCGTAAATAATAACATGATCATGAACTGAGTATATACAACTGAACTGAAACTGATATTTGATAACAGATAAACCGGTCTGATCTCGCGACCGAAGTCACGTAACTGATAACTGAATCTCGCAACATAAGTCGCGTAACTGATAACTGAAATCTCCCGACAAACTAACACCGGACCATGTGCACACTCTAATGGCTAGATTAGGCCAATAGAACTCAGAATGGACTGGCGACCATTCCGAGCGATTACTGAATATACATACCTCGACCATGGTAACGCAATTATAAACCATGTAATACTTAGTCTGAGTCCCCACCTGAATTTGCTGAAACTGAAACTGAGAGGCAGTGCTGATATCTAATCAAACTGAAAATAATATAAACAATTACTATTGGTTATGCTCAGACTGATAATTTAGCTGTTTAATGATGTTAAGATGCTTTATAGAATCTGACATGATATTCGGACTTATTCGGTATAACTGAAACCGGCTAAGTATGAAACTGA